CTCCATAGTTTGTGTGGTTAAAAAGCATTTGATGATTTGTTTGTTGTTTCCTGCAACAGACAATAATATTCCTATACTGAACCATTATTAAGAGTAACATCCTACTGAACCTGACATTTGAAGCGTTGTGTTCCTCATGATCAAGAAGTTTACATCAATAAAATCGCTTCCTTATCACTTCTAAATGACTTTCAAAGATTTAAATAGATGAGGAATATTCATTTTCCACAGTGAGCGATTTCATAGATTAATTATGAATCAAATAAGAAATTGACCACACCCCAAATAAACTTCAGATTTTGTTCAGTATTGATTTCCACAGTAGTTTAGACAAGATGAAGTGATACATTGGATATTAACATGATTTAGGTTCTTTGGTAAAATTCGTGGAATTAACTTGGTTAGGGAGTGAAATTGTCAAAGTTTTTTTAAAACATCATCACCAAAACTTTAGTTTCTAATTGACCTGATCAGCGATGTTAGAGAGAAACAAGTGGGATGTAAAGTCAGTGGAATGCTGAGCCTGAGGTTGTATGGTATCTCAAAATGCTCATCACTATTCAGTATTTGTGTGTCCAGGATAACGACAGTGTGAAGCAGTTCTCACTAGTAGGGGAATTAAATGAGACTGGTATTTTGCCAAGGTGTGGCTTAACATTCTTAATGAGTAATTGTTTGCCAGTAGCTTACAAAGCAACTCTAAACTCGGAGTCAATCAGTATTTGTGAGAGTCACATGACTATCATGTATTTTTAACATCCCAAACTCTGCAACATGGGATGATGAACCCTTATTTCAACGTGTGTCATCAAGTGAGTGAGTGAGTATGGTTTTACGCCACTTTTAGCAATATTCCAACAATATCATGGCAGGGGACACCAGAAATGGGCTTCACACATTGTACCCATGTGGGTGTCATCAAGACTGAAGTAGTCATGTACTACAGCCCTGGCATGAGATGATATATATGCTGACTAGATATACCAAACAAATACTCACAGCACTACTCAGAAAGACCCTCATTGTAAACACAAAGATCATCCGTCAAAGATAATTACAATATTTTGGCCAGATACATATGCATATATGACCCCTGTGAAGAACATAATCCACCCAAAGCTGCTTCCCTGAGGTGAGACAGTGTTTTCTCCAGCATCCCTTATGCCCCCACGCCCATGTTTATACCTCTATCCTGTTTACAACCCTAAAGTGCCCCTATCCTCTCCCAATTGATATATTTACTTCTGTCTACAACCCTAAAGTGCCCCCCTATCCTCTCCCAATTGATATATTTACTCCAGTCTACAACCCTAAAGTGCCCCTCTCTCTTTTCCCAATTGATATATTTACTCCTGTCTACAACCCTAAAGTGCCCCTCTCTCTTTTCCCAATTGATATATTTACTCCTGTCTACAACCCTAAAGTGCCCCTCTCTCCTCTCCCAATTGATATATTTACTCCAGTCTACAACCCTAAAGTGCCCCCCTCTCTATCTATTGATATATTTACTCCTGTTCACAACCCTAAAGTGCCCCTCTCTCTTTTCCCAATTGATATATTTACTCCTGTTCACAACCCTAAAGTGTGCCTCTCTCTTTTCCCAATTGATATATTTACTCCAGTCTACAACCCTAAAGTGCCCCTCTCTCTTTTCCCAATTGATATATTTACTCCAGTCTACAACCCTAAAGTGCCCCCCTCTCTATCTATTGATATATTTACTCCTGTTCACAACCCTAAAGTGCCCCTCTCTCTTTTCCCAATTGATATATTTACTCCTGTTCACAACCCTAAAGTGTGCCTCTCACTTTTCCCAATTGATATATTTACTCCAGTCTACAACCCTAAAGTGCCCCTCTCTCTTTTCCCAATTGATATATTTACTCCTGTCTACAACCCTAAAGTGCCCCTCTCTCTTTTCCCAATTGATATATTTACTCCTGTCTACAACCCTAAAGTGCGCCTCTCTCTTTTCCCAATTGATATATTTACTCCAGTCTACAACCCTAAAGTGCCCCCCTCTCTATCTATTGATATATTTACTCCTGCCTACAACCCTAAAGTGCCCCTCTCTCTTTTCCCAATTGATATATTTACTCCTGTCTGCAACCCTAAAGTGCCCCTCTCTATTCTCCCAATTGATATATTTACTCCTGTCTACAACCCTAAAGTGCGCCTCTCTCTTTTCCCAATTGATATATTTACTCCTGTTTACAACCCTAAAGTGCGCCTCTCTCTTTTCCCAATTGATATATTTACTCCTGTTCACAACCCTAATGTGCCTCTCTCTCCTATCCCAATTGACATACTTACTCCTGTCTACAACCCTAAAGTGCCCCTCTCCTCTCCCAATTGATATATTTACTCCTGTCTACAACCCTAAAGTGCCCCTCTCCTCTCCCAATTGATATATTTACTCCTGTCTACAACCCTAAAGTGCCCGTCTCCTCTCCCAATTGATATATTTACTCCTGTTCACAACCCTAAAGTGCGCCTCTCTCTTTTCCCAATTGATATATTTACTCCTGTCTACAACCCTAAAGTGCGCCTCTCTCTTTTCCCAATTGATATATTTACTCCTGTTTACAACCCTAAAGTGCGCCTCTCTCTTTTCCCAATTGATATATTTACTCCTGTTTACAACCCTAAAGTGCCCCTCTCTCCTATCCCAATTGATATATTTACCTCTGTCTACAACCCTAAAGTGCCCCTCTCCTCTCCCAATTGATATATTTACTCCTGTCTACAACCCTAAAGTGCCCCTCTCTCCTCTCCCAATTGATATATTTACTCCTTTCTACAACCCTTAAGTGCCCCTCTCTCCTCTCCCAATTGATATATTTACTCCAGTCTACAACCCTAAAGTGCCCCTCTCTCCTATCCCAATTGACATATTTACTCCAGTCTACAACCCTAAAGTGCCCCTCTCTATTCTCCAAATTGATATATTTACTCCTGTCTACAACCCTAAAGTGCCCCTATCCTCTCCCAATTGATATATTTACTTCTGTTTACAACCCTAAAGTGCCCCTCTCTCCTATCCCAATTGACATATTTACTCCAGTCTACAACCCTAAAGTGCCCCTCTCTATTCTCCAAATTGATATATTTACTCCTGTCTACAACCCTAAAGTGCCCCTATCCTCTCCCAATTGATATATTTACTCCAGTCTACAACCCTAAAGTGCCCCTCTCTATTCTCCAAATTGATATATTTACTCCTGTCTACAACCCTAAAGTGCCTCTCTCCTATCCCAATTGACATATTTACTCCAGTCTACAACCCTAAAGTGCCCCTTTCCCCCTTTGAAGATTTTTTCCAGTCTACAACCCTTAAGTGCCCCTCTCTCCCTTTTGAAATATTTACCCTTGTCTCTCCAACCATGAAACCCTCTCCCCCCCCAGCCCCTGTCTTTACTCAGTCTCTAACCCTTAATCCACCTCCCAGCCTGTTGTCATTTAACCTGTGTCACACCTGAAACCTCCCTCCCCCGCAGTGATATCTCATACCCATCTCTAACCCTGAAATCCCCCTCCTCGCTACCCCCACCTCCCACCCAATGACACCCCAGTCCCCCTCCCCACCCTGTGACATCTTCCCCCTGTCTACATTCCTGTAGTCCTGAAGCACAAAGGCCTGTATCCCCATGTGTTTATTGCCCCTTGTTCCATTCAAGTCCCTTCCTGTAGGTCACAGTAAAGATGTCCACCTGAGCGTGATGCACCCCAGGGGGAGGTTTAACCTGGGTGATGTAACACCGTGCAATTGTTGATGCCCTGGTGACACTTGTGTGGGAGTCATCATCTATGTCAATAGGTGTGGGTAAACAGATTTAATGAAGAAGGGGAGGTGAGGGCTCAAGGAATACCTAATACAAAACATCTGAAAGCATCTTTAGACAAGGTTGTGCAACAAGTCACTTCAGATGTAATTAAGCCTGCTTTGACGAGGGTAGGGATGTCATGGTGAAGGCAAGATATTTAAAAGGGATTGTGTTTGATGAGAAGAGTGGCAATAACCAAATTACAAACAGGCAACACTAAACTCACACCTACTCCAAATTAAAAAACATCAAACCAAATTTGAACCAAACAGAAACTTATAAACGCGTAATACTACATTGCACACATTACCAACAACACAGAACAACACTCCAATCCACACTAAACTACAACAACCAAATGACACTAGCAACTCTACTAAACCCCTTAAATAACTTTCACAACTTATAAAGCACTAGGTATTTATCTAAACAAAACAGATCAAAAACAACCAACACAAGAAACAAGCTACCAATGAAACATAAATCATGAATCTATAGAAAAACACAACAGCACATCCACACAACCTCTCAAACACCTTTAGTTCCCCCACCTTATTAGCATAGCATATTTCAAAATTCAAAATTTATGCCAAAATTCCGCTACCGTAAAGCCCTTCCAGGTTTCCTTACCTTACGGATATACCCTTCTTGACCACATCACACCGCCCATGCGCAAAATATGCATACGGTATGTCCGAAAGCACAAGTTAAAACCCAAACTTAGTAGATAAGGATGAGGAGCCCTGATAAGTACATGCAACATATATTTTTTCTGCATCCATACTACACGTTTTCACATTCATGAGTCGTGTAAATATCCAGAATAATGATACATCATTTAAACATGTGTTGAATTATAACATTGAAAAGATTGCATTTCAGAGCACATTTTAGTGACATATACAGGTTATTAAATTATCTTCATTGAGTTCAGCACGTGTTGCGCCTGCAGGTTTTTAACTACCCGCACAGGTTAAACACCTGTGCTTAGTTAGATTTCGATAATAATGTTAAAAGCAGGGATTTTAAAAGTGACAAATGCCATTTGGATGCATGACATTTTTGGTAACAATAAGCCAATGTTCTAGAAAATGAACCAATTTGAAACCCTGTAACAATGTTGCCGATTTGTAGTCTACATGCTCCATTCCCTCACCCATTCCTGATTATCTGCAGGCCTCTGCCAAGGACCAAGTTGTGAAGATTTGTGAAGAGGCATTCCTGCTTCGCCATAAGTCTCTGCACTGTGTGCCAGACAATGTCGTCAACAGCACTGCAGAGAAGTTGGGGGTGGATAAGAACAGCAGTCGATCTGTAAGTACTATGTTCCTAAGAGGCGACTCACGTGGATCGGTTGACTTGGGGACTTGCTTGATTGCAAGTCATCATACCCGAATTGTAACCTATTTCATATTAGTTATATTAATCCACAATTTATATGAGACCCTAAATCCTTATTCATATTAATTCCACTAACTAACTTTTAGTAGATACTTGGAGCCAAGGTGGAAATATAAAGGGAAGCTGAAAATGTCATCAGTCGGAAAGCGCACGTAAAATCTCTAATATAAGTAAGTAAGTAAGTCATCAGCTGCAATTGTTTGTATTTTATCACTATCCATACATGACACTAACATTGTGTATCATTGCTCATAATATCAATCACTAGATTGTCCAGTCTAAATTCAAGTGTTTACAGGCTGCTGTCGTATAGCTAACTTTTATTGATTGCTGCATCTGAACAACAAACAATATATTCAGCACTACCGGATGTATCTCATTGTTTTCTGGACAGCTCAGACAGTTTCCGACCAGTTGGATATTGCATGGCTAGTCTTTACTGTGGCTTCATTCCACATAGGGAACTCTGCGCAACAACTATCGTAACTATGCTAGAGTAAGGAGTAATGAATGTCACAGTGCTAAGAACAGATTTTGGAACAAGGCCCTGCTAGTAGTTTTGGAAGACAAAATGGTGGCCCCCCCCAAAACTGCTACCAATTCATTTACTTCCCCCCCCTAACAAATGATGAGGAGCATATAGAAATGGGCGATATCCATCTGTCCATCTGTCCTCTGTCCCAAAAGACAGCTCAATATTTCTTGATCAAATTTTGCACAGATATCAGTCTAGCCATGAACTGCCTTAACTGGGGCCTTTTAGTGATGAACTGGTGCTATTTAGGAATTTGAAAACTACGATAACACGGAGTACGATAACACCATCTACCAAGTCACCGAGCCCTACTAAATCCACGAATTCGCTTCTTATGAACCAGGTTCCACAGGAACTCGATGATAGCGTGTATAGCATAATATATTTGTATAGAAAAAAATTCACACCCCTCTTATATACATATAGACAAGGAGTGACACCCGCCATTTTGGTTCTTATTCAAGATTTCGTGCTTGGTTCGAATCACAGCTCGATATCGCATGAAATATGAATGTCACTTTTTCAACCTATTGGAACTTGCTTCATGGAATCCAACATGGAATCCCCACAAGGCTATTTATGAGAGTCACATAATGTCTAGAACTCTGTTTAAGTCGCACAATAGACAAAGAAGAAAATTCTCTTACGAAAATGTTACCTCGCCTATCGGTTATATTATCATATATATGAATATTAATGAGTTTTAATTTTGTGACGATGCGACGCTGGAGTTACCAAAACCTAAATCCAGATAGGTTGAAATTGTATTTATTAGATCTCTGTGTCATTGAATGGTTCATAAATTGCATATATATCATGTATATGTGTTATAAAAGTGACGCTTGAGTTTATTCTTTTTATTCATTAAAGAATATCCAGCACCTCAGATATGAGGTGGATGCGTGATCAAAATGCAAATGTCTGATTAGCCAAAAAATATTTCCGGATCCCTGATCTAGATAGCATTAAAGAATGTTTGAGACAGCTGATATTCCACTGTCTTGTGTTCCAGCTCCTGACAAGCCTGGGTCATGTGATCTCCTCAGCAATATTCCTCGGTTCCTCCGACTCAAAGACTATCATCACTATCTTTCCAGGTACAGCCTCAAATCACTCACCATGGGTTACTGCCACTGTCGACTAAATGGGAATCAGGCGGTCACAATGGCAGCACAGTATGGGCGGGATTGGAGTTGGGACAAATCTCACAGTGGGGCCAGACATTTGTTTTCTTTTCTTTTTTGTTTCAGATTTTTGGCCCAAATATTCAGGTCAGGGGGTCAGAATATTTTTTAAAATACACTTGAAATATATATTTTTATTTTCTAATTTGTTGTGTTCTGAATTAAAGTTTTAAAGGTACAATTTCAACAGGTTCAATTAAGGTATTTTAGATAATTCATATAGATTGATATCAACATTTAATGAGGGTTTCTGAAACATGTTACTTATTTCTGGTCGGTGGTATAAAAGACCCACTTCTTTTCATTTCTTTTAGTCAGCAGATTCGGATGTCTGTCCTTGTAAACATAGTTACAAGTGGACATGATTTATATGTAGAAACTAAACCATCATACAATCATACTCACTCGCTCGCTCAGTTTTGCTTATGTTACTGGTGTTCTAAGGGCTAGTAGAATTTTGGGGTATGTTTCTGTATGTTGTCACTATTCGGACTAGTCGACTTTCTAGGTTAATTTCTATTCCTGCTCCCCTTGTTCCATCAGCAAGTTTGCCAAACTCTTTATATCACTTTGCAATTGACACCACAGACAATTTCCACAAGAACCTTCGTGACCTTCTGACAAAGATCTTCATGGACCACATGGCAGGCTGGAAGATGCAGACTGCAGGAGGACTTGGTGAGTACTTCATGTCTAGTCAGGAGATATCCATCTTGTGTTTTCAGATTTGTTGGTGTTGCGGAGTATTTGATGCCTGGAAACTTCATTTAGAACAGACGGCTTAGGCATTATATTTATCATCATTGTAAAATACAAACATTATTAGTAATTGTCTGCAGAACTTTATGTGCTCATAAACTCGCACAGTTGTGAGACACAGTGACATCACACTTTAATGCTATGACATCACACTGGAGTGCTATGACATCTCATTGGAATACCATGACATCATGCTTAAGTGCTGTGACATCACACTTGAATACTGTGACATCATAGTGGATGATGTCATGCAGTGTTCCTGCTGGCTTTTGAAACTGCCAGTCATTGTGGACCGGCAACTCTAAAAATTAGCAGTCCCCCCTAATTTTTGCCAGTACCAACTTTCAACAAATACAAGTACGCATGAAAATTATTAGGTTTTAATTCTTTCAACATCATGTTCATTGCAAAGATGTCATCTCGGATGAAACTTAGTTAGATCTCTACATCATTCACACAAACTTTTTTATATTTCGAGGCGAAGTTGCTACAAACGGTGGTAACAGACAAGCTCACTTTGTTCGAAAAATGTACTAAAATGAATATCACTGATGTTTTGTTCAACAACAAAGATTTAAGAGGTACTTTATTTGCCGGTCCACAGGGACTGGCAGTCATATGAATTACCGGTCCAAGCCTAATTTTATCGGTAGAAAACTGGTAATTACCGGTAAACGGGACTGCTGTCATGTGCGTCCGTGACATCTGAACCTGCATGGTTAGCAGAATGTTGAAAAAAGCCCAGTTGCACTGATAAATACTCATACTTGTTCCAGAAGAACGTCATTGGGAACTGTACCAGATTACGAAGTTGCCCCCTGTATGGTAATAAATATGTCAATAATTGTATGTTAGTTGTAATTATCAAGGGAATTGGTAGACCTGTTTTGAAATTTAGATTTACTTCGGGGAACACAATTGCCCAAAGACACAAGTAACAACCTGTAGTATGTTCTGTTCTATTTTCAGTCTCTCTTCCCAAAATGGTTGACTTTGACTGGCGCGTTGACGTGAAGACATCTTCTGATACTGTGGCCAGGATGTCGGTGCCAACATGTATCCTGAACATGCAGGTGAGTTGTCTTAGTTCTCGCTGCCGCTAAACAAAGATCTGAGGACATCCCATTACAGGTCACGTCAGACCGACCTTTCGCGAAATCTGACCCACCAATGGAATTACTGACAAGAAGTTGATATTAGCCAATCAGAATGCAGCTTTCTCGTGCTTTACGGCACTAATTTCAAATTGGCGACTACGCTTCGAAACATATTTTGACAAATTCTTGCTTAAAAATTTGAAACCTGAACAAAAGAACGAATGGCTTATATATATGGTCTAGAGTGTATAGATTCAGTCGTTAAGCCCGTAACTATCGTTCGGAATACCCCGTTTTAAAGTTTTCGAGGCTGCATGATTAGAAATCACATTCCGACTGTCACTTTCATGATCTGAAAGATCTTTGTTTAGTGGTAGCGAGAACTAAGATCTGATTTTAATGAGATTGCTTCATTGTCTGCGGACCATTTCCTGCTCATGTTTATTGATTGTAATTGGTGTGCTCTGTGGTCATGGTAGTGTTATTCCAATTTCTTGTTTTACCCCATGGGGATTCCAGTTCAGAATAGGTGCCCGGCAACCTAGATGCAGGTCGTAAGAGGTGACTTAGTGGATCGGATGGTCAGGTTCAGTGACTTGGTTGAGGCTCACAATATCAATCACAGGATGATTACCTATAGGCCACTGTCAGGCTTACTGTCATATAGCTGGCATACTGCTGAGTGTGGTGCTAAACAATAATCTCATTCAACAAAGATCTGAGGACATCCCATTACGGGTCACGTCAGAACGAACTTTGACTGACCACTGACATGAATTACAAAGAAGTCGACATCAGCCAATTAGAAAGCAGCTTTCTCGAGCTTTACGGCTCTCGTTTCAACCTGGCAACGTCCATTTCAGACTACACTTAGAAATATGTTGACACAGTTCTTGTTAAATATTTTGAAAACTGAACAAACGACCATTTCGGAATGTCTAATATATGGTTGCGATTGTATGGCAGTGCTTCCCACGTAGTACTGTTTAACGCCTCCTCCTTTCAAATGTTTATCCCACGGAAGTGAGAGATAGACGATAATTTTGACGGAATCAGTCGTACGGGCCGTAACTGTCGTTTGGAATACCCCGTGTTTACATTTTCGAGATTGCATGATTAGAAAACACATTCCGACTGTCACTTTCATGATCTGGTAAGTGACGCTTTGATTGGTTGGATGAAAGGTCGTTCTGATGTAACCTGTAATGGGATGCCCTCAGATCTTTGTTTAGCGATAGCGAGAACTAAGATCTGATTTTAATGAGATTAGCTAAACAACAAACAGACAAACAATTTATTGTTGTCATCATTGACTGATACCACCATAGACTGTTTTCAAATTGTGACAGTTGAATTTAGAAGCCTAGTGTTTGATATTCTGGGCGGGGGCTGGGATTTTAAAACAATATATAATCTGTTGCCAGAAATGCTGGAAAAATATTTTATCTTCAGGTCTTACAACATTTAAAACTTTCACTGGATATGCTGGTTGTTGTGAACAACAATGTCATCTGCGTCACCCCAAAATTGTTTGCCCTCTCCTTTCTGAGAATTTCTATGTATGCTTTGCAGCTCTGACTGAAAAATAATCTTCCTGAAACAAAAATCTCTTTCATGACTCATGTCATTCCATATTCAAACCAGAGAGCAATCAAGTAATTTCTGCAAATTCCCCACACTTGTGATGCTTGCCACAAGCCAAGGCTACGCACCAGGGTGCAGGGTTGTGTTGCCTTGGCGGGCCAGGATCTTTTGATAGCGGGTTCAAATCCCAGATTTTTGTGTCTTAGTTAAATCAGCACCATATCTATGCTTACGGCTTTCACCAAAGTGATTAACTTCTGAGAACTGCAGTCTTTGCTCCCAGCATGCTGTACTATAACTAAAATACTGTACAGAGTGACGTTAATCTCAACTCACTCACTCACCTTATTTGTGATAACTCTGCTGTACTTTCTGCCACCAGGTCCAAGCTACAGCTACAGATGTGGGGATTGTGCCGGACGTGTCCAGTGTTAATGTAGAACTGTCGAAGGAGACGCTAGACACCATGCTGGACGGACTCTCGAAGATACGAGACCAGCTCTCATCAGTAGCAAGCAGATGAGTGTAGTGGACATTAGCAATTTACTGTTAGAGAATCTGTTTTCATCTCCAGACCAAAGTTAATGAATTCTTCCATTTCTAAGAATGTACCATATTTTCATGTTTATTTGTACCATATATTATACATTTGTAAAATACATAAATAAATTATCAATATTTATATTGTCATTTTGGTATATATGTCCTTATTATGCAGTCAGATATGTCATATGTGAATGCAACACATGAGCGAGATCACATCCTGGGCTACAAGTGAGTGAACTTGGAGTGACCCTGCTGTGAATTGTACATGGAAGGGAAACAACTCTGCACAGCAAATTGTGGACGACAAGAGTGTGGTCTCCCCTTGGGATACCAGAAGTGGTGTGATAAGTCTGCAGCAGTGGCATGAAACATGTTGACTTCTATGCCAATAAGAACTGATACAATTGATCATAATCGGTGATGTTGCAAGTTCAGCATCACTGCTTATGATATTGATATATGAATACTGTCAGTCTCACACATTTGTTTGTTTGTTGTTCCAACACCGCACTCAGCACTGTTCCCACCATATGACGATGGCCCATAAAAAGTTGAGTCTTGACCAGGCAATCCAGTGATTAATATGGTGAACAACAATCCACATCATCAGGGTATGATGGTACGCAATCAACCAGGTCACCGAGCCTGACCACCCAATCCATACGGTTGACTATCATAAGATGCTGGGGGACCAGTTCTAAAAGGAATCATCACGGGAGTGGATGAAAGTCAGAAATTCACAGTTTTGTCACAGCAGCAGTTTCCAAGCATAGAACAATTGTAAACAGCGGTCGATAACTCAAACTCGGTACGCTGACACAATCAGCAAGGTCCCATTCAGTCTGCTCTTATTCCAGCTATATCAGCCTGTTAGAGTCTGGACCAGACAGACAAGTACAATTATACACTTTAGCTGCCAGATCATGTTAACTGTTAAGAATATTCTAGTTGTTGCCCGACAAACAAGGAACAAAGGGTACAATTAGAACCATGTTTCTGTCTTCATTTCCCAAATTACAGCAGCTGACTTGGAGTGCATACAGAGTTACTCCCCTTTGACTTGCTACTCACAATCTCTAATCCTCATCAGTGCTATTTCCATGACCAGTCCTGACATGCAAAGATTGGTTTGGTTTGTTGTTTAACGCTGCACTCAGCAATATTCCAGCTATATGACGGTGGTCTGTAAATAATTGAGTCTGGACCAGATAATCCAGTGAATCATGAGCATCAATCCATGCAATTGGGATCGATGACATGCATCAACCAAGTCAGCGAGTCTGACCACCCGATCCCGTAAGGGACATACAAAGATACATAGTTCAGTCAGCAGTTCTACAAACATGACTATTCTTCAATCAGTTCACGATGTCATTGTCAAAAGCAAAAGATATGAGTAGCTTAATTTTATGCATATAGTAATGAAAAACTGCATTATCTTATTCCACAGACACCACTTGATTCAATGTATTGGCTTCATGTATTTCATGTGTGCATTTTGTATGTTTATGTTGAGCACTATCTTATATATAAAACCAGCTGTTGTTAAGTTATTACCTGGAGAGGTATTTACATAAGCAAGATTTGCTTGTTTACCGATCCAGATTTCTTTTGAAAACAAAATATGTTTAAAGCATACAAAGATAATGAATAGAGAGAAATGATGACTCAGCAGGAGACAACCTTCTGTGGGTATATTAATTCACTTAATAGCTGAGACATGTACTGTACTTGTCTTGCTAATCAGCATCTTCCCGAGGCAAGAGAGTTAACTGACTTTAAAAGTCCAGTTTCCACCCTTGCCCAACTAGGCTGGAATAACTGGGCTCGAGCGTTGCGCCATCAGTGGCTATTACCAATTATGTCCCTTCTAAGCCTCTCCTAAGGACCAATCAGATTCCACCTCTCGTATCACTTGCGTTTGCTTCACACAAAATGGTTGCGTCCGGTCAGGACGATCTGATCGATAATCAATGTCTATATTGTGATAAAATGGGTCTTACATCGTGAAATGCATCAAATCACGTGAGCACCTTGATTGAAAACGAGAAGATTTGGAAAATATCTGCTGACAACGAGTTGGTGGTGCACATGCTTTGCAAATCCTGCAATCGACCGAAATCTGCACGACAGTTTACAAACCGGATTTCAATTTCGGTGCACGATTTTGATTGGACTTTGCATAGACTCGTTAGTCCAGCCAAAATGTAACTCCATAATATACCAGCCTAGTTCGGCAAGGCGGGAAACTGGACTTTTATATAGTCAGTTAACTCTCTTGCCTCGTGAAGATGGCTAATCAGTTGAGTTGATAAAAGTATTTTTATCTTTTTCTGTTGTATACTGTAAGTAAATGCAAGTGTCGACACCTGGACTAAAATGTGTCATGAAATTAATGCAAGTAGCCCTGCCTTTGAGCTATGAAAATTCATCAGCAAACAATAACACCAAGACCGCACACTTACAATTCCATGATATAGTATGGGGCAATAGCAGTTCAATTGAATATTATTGATTGTTATCTTCACAAAATTAGTTCCAACTGCTTGACATGATATCAAAAGGAGGAGATTCCAATCTCACGTTTAAATGAAATAGATCGGGTTACCAACGAAGATTGTATAGGTTCCAAGCTTTGTTACAAAAGTTAGTGGAAGTCATTAGATTAAACAAACAGGTTACCAAGAACAAAGACAATGTCCTTCATCATTGGCGACTGTCACAACAGCTTGATCAACTTGTGTGAACAAACAGACCACACTTGTCAGTGAACTTGGTGAGGAGCGCTGTCTAAATCTTGCACCCTATTTGATCCCTCAAATGCATTGTTCGTTGTGAGTTTTGTTACATTAATAAGTCATTGTTTCTGACAATTTGAAGTGAGGTGAGGTGAAATTGGGTTTAGCGTTGTGTCCAAGATTATTGCACTAATACAGCAACGTGCATGCATGTGCGTGTGTGTGTGGCTGCTTGTACTGATGCCGATTTATAGTGCCAGCTCACTGAGATACCATGCAGCAGTTTAACATGAATGCCCCACTCAGACACAGTATACTGACTTCGAACTGACCTGTCCTTGTTTTAGCCCCTAAATGCCGAGCGCCAGACAGGGTAACAACAAGTACCATTATTTAACGTCTTTTGGTATGACACAGCCAGGGATTGAACCCCGGACCTTCCGCTCTCTGGGCGGACACTCTACCACTAGACCACGGAGGTGGTCCCATGTGAAGTGAACCTGACATGACAAACTCAAACAATACGTGTGTCACTTTATTCATGTGAGCCAGGGACATCCATATAGTTCACAACATTTTCATGCTCACATTAATTTCATGATTTTCAGTATTTGATAGCCTGGATTACACAACCTTTTTAGTTTTAGGAAGGATTATGTCTCCTTTAAGTCATACATTTTTTCTTAGTTCGATTAAAAAACCTGACATGAAACAAAAAGAGAAATTAGACATTTGTTTATATCGGGTCATAGTCCACACACTGTAGCAAGAGTCACATGAAACTCTGAGTGAGTGAGTGAGTTGGGTTTAACACCATTTTAAACAGTATTTTAGTTACAATACTGCATGTCATCTTAATTTGGGAGGAAAAACCTGATGTGATGCAGGTCTCACGTTTACCACTTCAGTGAAACCCACAAGCATGGGTGTGGTATTGACAAACCTGGAAACATGATAAGGGTGAACCCATGTGGAACTGAGACATTGTCTATGTATTTGGGTTATTCCTTATTTGTTACATTGATCTGGACGGTAAAACTTGAGTCATTAGGCGAGAATTAAGTTACTGCAATGGCCTTGTTCATCTGGTTTAGAGCCAAGCCACTTTTCACAAAGAAATAAAACAAATATGAAAAGGCTTTGAATTATACTCAATAACAGAACTTGTGTGGACTGATTAGCATCTAGCACAACCAAAGCAGGCACAAACATAAAAAAAATAGTACTGTCATACTTAAAGTAAACTTCAAAGTTGAAGACAGAATTTTTTTAAACAAGATTTATTCACGAAAGAATTCATGCATTATAACAATATCAGCACGACAAATTTTGACACACTTGGATAAATATATGTTGTCAAAGGCACATCCACAGTGTATATAGATATATATATATAAATGTAGGAGTCTATGGCAGGACTCTAATGTGTATTCTCAGATCTGTGGCAGATTCTCATTGTTATATGATGTCATGTTTGCAATGATCTCTGATCTCTCATCTGTAAATTGACAATCTGTTCCATTGTGTCATGCTTCAAATAACTTCACGACTCCTTGCCTGTGATGACGTCATGTAAGTTAACGTCTATTACCAATAGAAACAGTGATCAGTCAGAAAAGATGAGCCAGACACTATAGAAAATGAAGGTTTTGTTAAAGCAGCTCTCACACTTTGCTGACTTGCGTCCCGAGTATGGACCCGAGCTGACTCGGGAGTACTCGTATGGAGCTCGTAGCGAGGTCGTTCTAAACTGGGGGTAACTCGGGATACCTCATAGTGATCTGCGAGAGTTTTGGAACTGCTCAAAACAGTCGGGCCGCCAGCCAATGGCTAGTAAACTCGTAACAAACTCATAACACACTCGTCCTACTCGTAGTACCCTCGAGGCGATCTCGTGGTGCTCATACAGAACTTGTATGAGAATCGTCTGCAAAATTTATCGCAGAGTTGACCGAGTCTAATACGAGCTGTATGAGTGTCATTCCCGCAGCTTGTAGCCACCGCGTACCAAAGTCGTACCAAGCTCGTACAGCTCGTATCGAGATAGTAGTAGACTCTTGTTAGACTTCTATTAGACGCCTATTGGAATCCTATTGGACTCCTATTGGACTCCTATGGGGCTCGTAACACACTCGTACTGTACTCGTATGATAATCTTATATATGTAGTCTCTTCCCGAGTGCTAACCGAGTTAGGCTCGGGAGGGCTCGGCAACCACCTCGCCAAAGTGTGAGAGCTGCTTGATGCAGATTCATGCCAGCAGAGGAAGAATCCAGAACCGAAAGACCCTTACACTGAAATTAAAAAACAAACAAAACGTATTTAAGAAAAGTTCCTACCGGTACATGCAAACCCTGCACCTGACGATGCAGTTCCAAAGGGGAAATGATAAAAATAATCCAGAGAAATCATATTGATCATCAAAAGCCTGCAGCTATATATGAATCTATCTGAAGTCTAGCACTACAAAAATTGCCAGTTAATAATATTTTATGATAATCTGCCATAGATCTGAGTTTGTGCCAATATCTGCCCTATTTGTGGAATCTGCCATAGATCTGAGAACTGCCACAGATCAGAGTCCCACCATAGATCTGAATCCTACATATATGCATGACAGTCAACAGGTATCGCCCTTTAATTAAACTACTTCAACTAGAACATTTCAACATCAGAAATGTTACCACAAACGATTCAAGGGGGGAAATCACATTATATTTTTCAAATATTCTCCTAAACATGATCTGGTATATGATGAGATATCTATCTCAGGGAAGGCCACACATATTTTCAGTCACAACATTCAAGGCCTTTTAAAGGCCTCTTTCAAACATTTCCTCCCCATAATATAAGGCCAACTTTCATAAAAATTTTAAATGCCGATTGGCCAAAGTCATATCCTCCCCATTATCTAATGCCAACATTCATAAATGTTTCCAATGCCGATTAGCCAAAGTCACGTCACCCGTCCACCTCCATCCTCTCTATCTCCAGGAATCGCATTTTGGTGAACCTTCACCAACCCCTGCAACAATCCACAAGTTTTTGCGATCTTATATTACCTGCCCTTGAGTTTCATTAACAATTTACCAACAAATCAAATGTCGAGATTAGGAAAAAGAATGTGTAAGGGATATAACTCGTATTGCCTTATAAGCCACCGCCAGTTTTTATGGACATGAAGACATCCTCTCCATCAATAAGGTTTTGAGGACTTTCTTTTGGGTGTCAGTCATTTTTTCAACGTTGAATTTCTCACACTCTATCGCAATCTATGGGACTGGGCACTGTTTAGTTGATATCGCCAACCACTACATTAAAACTGGTTAGTAACTCGCATTATGATTGGTGTTAGACCTTCTAGCGTAGCCAATCAAATTGGCTAAAGGAAATTAAAGGCAGGTAATTTAAGATCACGAAAACCTTGTGGGTGGTCCAGGGGTGAGTGTAGATTTACCGAAATGCGAGCCCTGGAGATATAGAGGATGCTCCACCTCCTGCTCAAATGTTTGTCCTCAGCCTGATGTAACATGCTTTGTTTCTGTTTGTTGTTTTACACCTTACTCGGCAATATTCCAACACATTACAGCAGCCTTTAAATAATCAAATCAGATTAACCAGTGGTTGATATTACGAGCAACGTCCCACACCACGTACAATTACACAATCAACCAGGTCAACCACCCAACCCAGTTGCCTGAAGTGACTAGCATGGCTGATGGGTACCTATTCTAATCTGGTTCCCACTTGCATAAATTTCTAGCTGCTCAATAAATTTAAAAGAATACATATCCAAAGAACTAAACTAAACCCCTCCAGTTTTGAGGGTGGAAAATACATTTATGTACCATGAGACAATGGTCTTCAACTACACTCGAATCAGATTTGGCAAGATAATGAATCTATTCTTTCTATACTGTCCAAAATAGCCACTGCTAGAACAACATAAGTATGAAAGTGAGATGTGATTCAAAATTGCTTTAAACAGTACTGCAACAGCACATCAGCACAAACTTTTAGGAATACCCAAAGTGTTGTTGGTTTGTCAGCATTGTGTTGTAGCAATTTATTGACGTTCATTTTGTTGCAGCTAAATACTATTTGTATTATGACAAACGGAAAGCACTACCAAATATCTAACGTTATTTATCACATATCAGGGCCCCATTCCACAAAGCGATCTCAGCACTATTATGACTGTAACTCCCATACGTTAACATAGGCTCTGATATCTTTGATCACGCTATGATCATTTTGTGGAACAGGCTCCTGGTGAATGAGACTACCAAACCCCCAGGTAGCCAAGTGTGGCACTCTTACTATAATCATCTCAATCTCTGTAAAATAAATCTCTGTTTAGAGTCATACGACTTAAGGACAGCAGGAATGAAAACTGTAAAGAATCAATGGTGACAAAATATATACTAAACAACATTTAAAAAATGCAGTAACTTATAATAACACATATATATTTTAACAAATGACAAGGCCAGAGCACTTTTTCTCTCTTGTACTACGAATTAACCGAAATAATTTTTCCCTTATTTAAAAAAAGTGAAAGAAGAGAAATAATTAAATGATTTCAAAAATAATTCACCAACAACACTAAAATATCATTTAATATCTCACTGGAAGGGAAGCAACTCTTCCACAACTGTCACTTGCCATCAGCAGAAGTGAACATAATTTCATTGGACTGCTTCATCTCTGCCCATCATATCACTTCTTGCTGATAAGATACTGTCATATACATATTTTTGCATTATTAACAATGGCACCTAGACGAGGCCGGTTGTAGTTTGTGAATTGATTCTTCTTGACTTTTCTTATACGGTTTTGCACAGTGCAGACAAAGCGCTATAGCCTAATAGTCACATAACAGAAGAGCTTTCTAATTAGGAAAATAATTGAAAAGAAACTTACTGACACAGTTGGTGATTTGTCAGCAAATTCATAGCCACATGCCCTGCCAGTCTCATTTATGGCTTCAAGAAGTTTTGCTTCTTGGAGTAGCAGAAGTTATTTTCTGAGTAGTTACCCAATCAATAAAGAAATATAAACATTTTCAAGATTATTTTTTCCTCAATCTTATCAATTTGGCCCCATAAATCCATAATACAAACATTTTTTGTATTGACCTGGGCTTTTACTTATTCTTTTTTCCGCCTCCATCCAGCCAATTTGTCCCATGAATTTGTAATACAAGAAGAAAAAGAATGATCTGGTCTAATAAACATCAAGCTCTCAAATCAGAATGAGATATAGGCACAGTTACACGTCAACAAAACTTCACACATTGTCATCAATCCTGTCACTAAAAATATTCCAACAATATGAATACTCTTAACAACACCGTATATCAGTGGTGTGCCCCTCAGATGATGCTACCTTTAAAACTGATAAATGAATAACAAGGCACAACACACCACACCCATTTCAAATATGCATGACTTACTATTTCAATAAAATCTTTCTTCATTCACACAACATGATGGTTAACTCTGGGATCCTTTCTTAATCCCTTCCTCGTTCAATTAATGTTCTAAAGCAAGCAATGTGTTTCAGATTCTTATGAAATAAGAAACCTCTACTGCAAAACAGACTTCAGAAAAAAAACTGATAATCGAACCCGCAGATTAGCATAATACAGCTGGTCAACAATAATGGCAAGGGTGGAAGGTTTGCTCCTGGGCCAGTCAACTGCGTGCACTTGCTGCCTACCGCAGCTTTTACGCTTTAGAATCAATACAATAATCAGTGTTCCCGCTGGCTTTTGAAACTGACAGTCCTGGTGGACTGTTAACCCTCTACAAATTACCAGTCCCCCCTAATTTTGTCAGTCCCAACTTTAAACAAATAAAATAATGTTTGAAAATTACCTGGTCTACCCCTGCTACTTCATGTTCAATGCAGTGACATCCTCCCTGCAGTAACTTAGTTAGATCATGGACCTGTATAAACTTATAGGTTCGATGTTAGATCTACACAGCATTCACACAAAGTTCAAGTTTTTCTCTCTTTTTTTTTGTTGCACATTTCAAGACTAAGTCGCTACCAAATATACATTTAACCTCAAAGCAAAGCGAAATCCTTGCACTTAAAATTAGCCTAATTGTACCGGTTACAAAACCTGGTAATTACCTGTAAAAGGGAACACTGAATAATGTGTGAACTGCACTGCGTATGTGATGTGTTGAAGTGGTGCAATGATGATACACACACAGCACAAACACCATGTCCACTGCGTCACACTCACTTCCCTGAAACGGATTCTTCCGTTCACAAACGCCTACTGTCCTAAAACATGGTGTTCATGCAGGTTTTTCTCCAGTTTGTTTACCAGCATCTACATGTGATTCTGATGGACTCAAGTTATGCCCTGGAGACTGAAAAGTCTGATACATGGTAATCTAGATATAGGTTTGATTTGCCATTGACTGGAAATTAGTATGAACACTCATGATGCTCCGTTAATCTGGTCTGCAGCGTTCCTTGTGAAATCATTACAAGTTTTTATATCAAGTATTTGTATCACAGGTACAATCTCATTAAACTCAGATCTTAGTTCTTGTTCCCGATAAATAAAGATCTGAGGACATCTCAGTACAAGTCACGTCAGAATGACCTTTTGTGACCTCTGAGTGGATAACAAGACTAACAAGAAGTCAACATTAGCCTATCAGAAAGCAGCTTTCTCAGGCCAAGCGGCACTAGTTTCATCCACACTTTGAAAACTATTTTGACAAAGATATTGCTTCAATCCGATCAATCAGTGTGGCTTACCAGATCAGGAAATGTCAAAATGTGTTTTCTAATCATGCATCCTCGGAAAGGTTAACACGGGGTATTCCAAACGACAGCTTTGGGCTGTACAAATGATTCTGTCGAAATCATTGTCTGTCTCTCGCTGGAGAACTTTGTCAGGTCGTTCTGACATGACCTGTAATGGGAAGTCCTCAGATCTTAGTTAAGCAGTAACATGAACCTAGATCGGATTTGAATGAAACTGTCACAGGTTCAGAGAAATGTCCTTTTGTATGTAGACATTCGTTCTCAGTGGGTTTCTCCAGAAGGCTTGTTTTCTTGGCTAACAGGTTCCAGATAAACAAGGCTTCACTGTATATTAAATGAAATATATTACATATTGAGACATGAAGAACATCATCAAGACAAGATGAGAAAGCACAGTCACACTTTTGGGACTGTGAACGAGTGAGTGCGATGAGACATAAGCCAGGTCACACATGATGGCTGCCCTGAACTCACGGTCAGTTCTTACAAGATACTGCTCCTGTGTCCAGAATGGGGTATACGTTGCTTCAATGTTCTAGTAACAGTTAACATGATCACAAAGACTTGTTATAGTGTCTAAACATATATAATTTTGATAGAAACGGGTAACTACATTTAAACCGAGGAGGAACCCCAGTGACATGGGAGTTTCAGAACCTGTGGAAAATCTAGAACTATTTCATCCAGAGCATTAGCATTACAGTCAGCTTGGCAGAAGGGACAGTGATCCAGGGACCCGGAGACAGACTACATATCTCCATTCTGTCATAAATACCTTGGAACAATTCACGACCATAGTCGCCTTAAATTACATGACCCAAAGATATGTGAGCAATTTGGATGAGGTAGGTGTCCGCCAGTTCAAATATCTACACGACACTGAAGAAAATGGCAGTCACCGGGTTGTTATGCATTTCACTGATTATATGTTTCAAATTTTTAAAATCATACAAATGCACATAGACATCTTCTTCACTAACTACCTACATACCCATATTGATGCAGAAATAGCATAGCACAGCACAGTAGGCAGTGAGTTCTATTGAGAAGATTTAACGTTTAAGAAACAAAATTTAAATGCTTATTACATATTGCTTCAAAATCACTCACTTAAAGAATCATAATTACTTTTGGATGTCATATAAGGGATTTATCTAATATCTAAGGCAAATTTGCATATCTAAACCTTTTTTAAATATTGGAATTTTTAGAAATTATTTTCCTAAATTCAAAGGTACTTTAATTTAATTTTAATTCATTGCAATAATGTAAAATGAGCAATAAACCATTTCCTCTTTATTGGACTTTATGGCGCTGTACCTATATCACACCTGTAAATATGAGATAAATATAGCGAGCAGATATACAGCATAAAGCCTTGTCTGGCTTGTGATTCACTCGGAGACATTCCCCAGATAATAATCACCTGCTTATGTACACAGCTCACATGCAGAGAAACAGTTCCGGTTTCAGTTCACTGGATCTGGCAGCTATTACACAAACAAGTCACAAGTCTGCCATCGTTCTCCAGAACAAGATCATGCTCTAGACACTGTCCCATTGCCATATCAAGATGAACAAAAAGCAATTAGTTGACCAATTAGTTGACCAAACCATGTAATAACATCCTTCACAATCATCCCAGACTTCCAACAATGAAGATAGCTTCCCCACAAAAAAAAACATCCCTAGGAATCCAGCATAATAAAGTAAAACACCATCAATGCCGGCCGCAAACACTTCCATCATACCTATGTGGCCACAATGTAAATGTCTGCCATCCTGATACAAATGGCTGCCACACCTAAGAACACATAGTCCAGGCAGATCCAGGATTTTGAAAACAGGGGTTGGACATACTGTGACTTGGCCATGGGTGCAGTTAACCATGTGAGGTGTCCTGGAAAGATTTTGCACATCCCCACTCTGGATCTGCCAGTGAAGTCCCAAGGTGTATTTCTGCCAGATGAACACATTGTCTTTGAAGGAGCATTTACGGCATCATGACTTAACAGTTCGTCATCTTGATGTAAATGGCCGCACCCCCTCCACCCCCCACCCCAAAAATACCAGGCCAACCAGTCTCCAGATGAGCTCTATAAGTGTCTGGTGGAACATGTCCCATGCCCTCAACTTGAGGAGAAGCCTCACTGGTCAGTCAGTGCTTGGTGGAACATGTCCCATGCCCTCAACTTGAGGAGAAGCCTCACTGGTCAGTCATTGTTTGGTGGAATGTCTCCCCTGCCATCAACACTGGTCAATCAGTGCTTGGTGGAACATGTCCCATGCCCTCAACTTGAGGAGAAGCCTCACTGGTCAGTCATTGTTTGGTGGAATGTCTCCCCTGCCATCAACACTGGTCAATCAGTGCTTGGTGGAACATGTCCCATGCCCTCAACTTGAGGAGAAGCCTCACTGGTCAGTCATTGTTTGGTGGAATGTCTCCCTTGCCATCAACACTGGTCAATCAGTTCTTGGTGGAACATGTCCCATGCCCTCAACTTGAGGAGAAGCCTCACTGGTCAGTCATTGTTTGGTGGAATGTCTCCCTTGCCATCAACACTGGTCAATCAGTTCTTGGTGGAACATGTCCCATGCCCTCAACTTGAGGAGAAGCCTCACTGGTCAGTCATTGTTTGGTGGAATGTCTCCCTTGCCATCAACACTGGTCAATCAGTGCTTGGTGGAACATGTCCCATGCCCTCAACCTGAGGAGAAGCCTCACTGGTCAGTCATTGTTTGGTGGAATGTCTCCCCTGCCATCAACACTGGTCAATCAGTGCTTGGTGGAACATGTCCCATGCCCTCAACCTGAGGAGAAGCCTCACTGGTCAGTCATTGTTTGGTGGAATGTCTCCCCTGCCATCAACACTGGTCAATCAGTGCTTGGTGGAACATGTCCCATGCCCTCAACTTGAGGAGAAGCCTCACTGGTCAGTCATTGTTTGGTGGAATGTCTCCCTTGCCATCAACACTGGTCAATCAGTTCTTGGTGGAACATGTCCCATGCCCTCAACTTGAGGAGAAGCCTCACTGGTCAGTCATTGTTTGGTGGAATGTCTCCCTTGCCATCAACACTGGTCAATCAGTTCTTGGTGGAACATGTCCCATGCCCTCAACTTGAGGAGAAGCCTCACTGGTCAGTCATTGTTTGGTTGAATGTCTCCCCTGCGATCAACACTGGTCAATCAGTGCTTGGTGGAACATGTCCCATGCCCTCAACCTGAGGAGAAGCCTCGCTGGTCAGTTAGAGTTCTCAATCTTAAAGGAGGCTAATTTCCACGGCCTGGTTCCCAAGACTAGGTCCAGACATTGTAATAGTGTCCAATTCAACTGACACTCTTTCTCTGTGGAATTAGGGTATTTAACCAATAGACTGACATCTACCCAAACATCTGAGTTAGCACACAAAGTGATGTTTGAATAATTTGTATCACACTTCTTACGGCTGCCAATTGGTTCAAGCCAAGTCTCCCCATGAGAGTGAGACGATTTCCTTCTTGATTTTTTTAGAATGAAACAGAAAGTCAACGAACATGAAGAATAATGTTTCTCAACAATCTGTCACCCGCTCAAGAATCGGTTAAGTGCTCGTCCTCATGTATTGGTGAATTTGATTGGCTGGTGGACTCGGAGAACAACTTTGGCTTGGGTTTGATTCGATCTTCGGGGCGAGTAAGCATCCACAACAGATCCTTGTACTGACTTGGCCAGGAGTATTTCAACGTCTTCTTTAGCCATGACGGAAGGTACAGTTCATCAGAGTCTTGGAACAGCACAGGGACAAACCTGGTGTTCTTTTCATGTTGTCTGTACTCCTTCAGCATCTGTGCGTAGATGTATCGGGTGTGGAGCTGACTCTCCGGCATCATCCCATTCTTGGACAATTCCTGCGCCTCGATCTCCGTTTTGTATTTAGCAGACGGACATACTAGGATGAAATCAGACTGAAACAGATGATGATGAATGTGAAATTAGCAAGAGTTCACAACTCATGATAATATGTCACAGAAATAACATCAGCAAATATTTGGCACTAAAGTTTCTTTCGTTGTTGCTAAACGTCATACTCTGGAATATTCCAGCTCCATGAGGGCAGACTATAAGTAACTGAGTATAGACAAGACATATCACTGAGGCCATGAGCAAAGTTCCACACTGTCTGGGAACGATGACATGCATTCAATCAAGTCACCAAGCCTGACCATCTGATCCAAGTAGTCGCCTTATAGGACAAGCCTTATAGGACAAATTCATATTCTTTCAGACTATCCACATATCAAAATCAAACTTTGAACTGCACCTCTTCTAAAAGTATGGAAACCGTTCGCTAAAGTTGTAAAAAATACAAGCAGTAGTTTTCAAGTCACAGGTCACACAAATGTTTAAGCAAACAATTCTTTTAGGAAAAACATGAAAAATAGCTGTGTTTTTTCAAGAAATCCAAATATTGAAATCAAACTTTGGACTGCACCTCTTCTATTGGTATAGAAAGTGTTCACCAAGTTTGAAAAGAATCAGAGAGTTTTTGAGTTATAGGTTGCACACAAAAAATGCCCCCAAAAGGACGGACAGAATTCCTTGGTATAATATAGTATATACCCCCTCCATTTTAGGTCCTTTATAATAAATATGCAATAAAATGAAAGAGCTCCTATTCATATAGCCATTTTACACTCTGCCTTCAAATTTCAGTATTGAAAATATCATTATGAGAAGGGAAGTAACCTTCTGACTTGTCATTCAGGGAAACAATACCCGTACACACAGCATGTCTTTCAATCCAAAGCTTAACATTTTATACACACAATTTCTTTTTCTTAAATTCAATTTTATTTTCACTTTGACCCCCACCCTGTAGTTTTGGACAACATGATTTGTTTGATTCTTTTCCCCATCAATGACAATTTGAATGAATGCTGACCTCATTGAACTTTTCCTGGTACCAGTTGACCTTGTCATGCTGGTTGGGGAGTGTTGAGACATAGCGGCTGTTGATGTCAACGCAGACCGAGAACCCGTTCTTCACCATGCAGTTACACAGAGATAGCACATGGCAGAGGTGGTTCTTGCTGTCGTTGGAGTACGTCACGAACACCTTGATATGGCGGAAGGCTGGAAGCACACAGGGAGACTTGTGTAATTATATGCTGGTGGAAACGTGATGGCATCTCTTATACTGATCACTCACTCTCAAGGAGAGCTGAATTAGAAACCCAGATCTACCAGAGTTGTACTTTGAATAAGGGATTCTAATCCACTGCGTCTGTACTTTGAATAAAGAATCCGAATCTACTACAGCTGTACTTTGAATAAGACATTCAGATCTACTAGGGCTGTACTTTGAATAAGACATTCAGATCTACCAGAGATGAACTTTGAATAAGGAATTCAGGTCTACTACGGCTCTACTTTGAATGAGGAATTCAGATCTACTACGGCTGTACCTTAAAAAAGGAATTCAGATCTACTAGGGCTGTACTTTGAATAAGACATTCAGATCTACTAGGGCTGTACTTTGAATAAGACATTCAGATCTACCAGAGATGAACTTTGAATAAGGAATTCAGGTCTACTACGGCTGTACTTTGAATGAGGAATTCAGATCTTCTATGGCTGTACGTTAAAAAAGGAATTCAGATCTACTACGGCTGTACTTTGAATAAGGAAATAAGACCTACTTGGGCTAGGAGGGCAGTTCTTTGATTTCATTGGGACCGCGATCTTGTTTTCCCAAATCGGTACGTTTACATTAATAATCTGGAAACCTTACTCAAACCTGACATTTAGAACAGCTGATCATACACAATGGTGATATGTGACTATGGATCTATGATACCTGGATACAAGCAAACAATAGTGTTGGGGTCCCAGCAAGGACACATACTCCATCAGTGTCTTACCACTGCTACCACTCGGACTCATCTCATGTTCCTCACTACCAGTGAGTGAGTGAATTGGGTTTAACGCTGCTTTTAACAGTATTCCAGTAAGACCAAGGCGTGTCAGCTTAATGTGGGAGGAAAGCCCGAAGTGATGCAGGTCTCAGACGTTTACTACTTCGGTGAAACCCATGAGCACAGGTATGGTGCCGACAAACCTAGAAACATAATTGGGGCTAACCGGGATTTGAACTCACAATCATAGGTTTCCGGCGTGCCCAAGGGACGCAACCCTGCACAGCGAATCGGGGCACCTTAGACGACTGGGCCAACCGTGCCCTCCTCACTACCAGTGAATGAGTATGGTTTTTACACTGGTCTTCCCCATAGCTTTCACCACTAGGCTACCACACTACAACATGGCTTTTAGCATCATTTTCAGCAGATTATATGTTATATGGACTATTATTAGGTGAACTTTCAAGACCCAACAGGCTTTACTAGACTTGGACTTCAGACTGCTAGCTCGAAAATGGCTCTTAACATCATTTTCAGTAGATTTTAGTGTTGTCACATGGACTATTATTAGCTGAACTTTCAAGACCGAACAGACTTTACTAGACTTGGACTTCAGACTACTAGCTCGAACATCATTTTCAGTAGATTTTAGTGTTAATATATGGACTATTATAAGCTGAACTTTTACTTTAACTGGACATGGACCAGTGGCTTAGTCACAGACTGCTGCGAGCATCAAGCGCCAAACAGCTCAACACATAGTTACCTTTCCTGAACTCAGCTGGCTTCATATCTACTGGCATGGAAGACGACTTAGTGAGTGTATTGGACTGGTTCATCTGCAGGCTGCCTACAACAGTCCCTGTAGTGGGAGTCTTCACCCGCGGAAACGTTTTGGGCGTCTCTCTCACTCCATTTTTAGCTCGCAATTGCATTTTTTTTAGGTCAGTGAAATTCAGATGATCGTGACCACTACAGCTGGGAGCATCAATTTTCTCTTCTTTGAATTGTCGAGGCCTTCCCATCCGCTCATCTTCCACCTTCTGATCTGCAACAATTTTCTTGTATTCCTGATTTGGCTGGTAGCAAGGCGGTAGTTGAGCCAACTGCTGCAGCTTGGATATAGGTGGAGAGGACACCTTCCGCAGGCCTGCATCATGCATCATTTGATGACTGTTCATGTTGATGATGGTGCCTTTGATAATGTAAGGCCTGTTGGAGGATGACATAGGCTGTTTGGGGCCCATATTCTGGCCGTAATATTCTGGTCGACCGTGTTGTCTTTCTCCAACGTGATTAATTGCAATGTAGCTGGCATTACGCCCTGAAGTTTCCACTTCCTCTTCACGAGCAACATCTATAGCGGCTGGTTGTCCCATGGACTGTGAGTGAGTGAATGATGACAGTTGGTTATCTCCCCTCATGATGGTCCGTGGCAAAGGTGCAGGTTCCTCTCGGCGATGATTGTCTTCCTCCATGTCGATGTCATCGACTGACATCATGTCCCCTGGTCCTGGAGGGTCCTGATGGACCATCATGCTCTCCTGGCAGCCATTGTGCTGGGGTGGAGTGTATTCACCGCTGAAGTAAGGGTGTCCCTGCACACCCCGCGACATGATATAGGACATACTTCCATTCTGACTAGGGTAGCCATTACACATGGGGTGTCGTGGCTCAGGGATGGAATTGTGCCTGCAGGGTGGAGACTGGAGGATGTGGCAGGCACTGGTTGGGCAATACTGCATGGAATTCACCATGCCCTGGTGTGCCATGTGGCCATGCATGTCTAGTGATGGATACATGTGAGGCGCAAAAGAGTTTGACGGCCAGTTGTAGGAGACTTCATCGGGGGTGCGAGGTGACTGTTGAACTGCATTCTTTTCATTCTTATACTTTTCTTCGGCTTCTGAAAATAAAAATAAAACAAGCATGAAATACTCACATCCCCCGCCAATATGACATGTCCAGTTGTGTGCAATGCATTAGCTCCTGTGAACTATTTTCACTGGACCTTTTAGTAATGGCCTAATTGCAGCACTAAAAAAGTTATTACTGGTCTTGTTTTGCGATCTGCAGATTATGATAGAATATGTAACTGTATTTGTAATGAGTAAGGATGAGACATATGGACGAACAACTTCTTTATTACAATTAGGAGCGATGGTTTCAGTTAGGTTCTAACACCGTTATCAAGCAAGTAAAGTACAGAGTATGGTTGACAAGAATATATAGTGTTTATACAGTTGAGTAGGTTTAAGATCAGTTACACTGTTGTATTTGTAATGAGTTGTGTTTCTGCATGAAGTTAGTCAGTGAATGCAACAATTGTGTCCATGACACTTTTGGAGGAACATACACTCAAGCAATCCAGAACTTACCAACAAGAAAAGGAAATGTATTCAATACTGTGAGATGACATTATGTGCCAAATTTGGTTGCCATTGAAACTTGAAATTATTTATTTTTTTTAAATCCCAAACTATCAAAAGACACCAGTTCACCACTAGACCTATCTATGTGCCAAGTTTGGTGAAGAAATATGGTACGGTTTTCAAGATCTGCTCGGGAAACGAAATGTGACGGACGGACGGACGGACGGACAGACAGACGGACAGCACCCATTCCTATATCCCCCTTCCACTTCATGGCGGGGGATAATAATGTGATCATTGTGTTAGTTATGGTAGGTCCCAACTAATCCTACCAGAGCCACCTTGTATCATCACCAGTAATCCTACCAGAGCCACCTTGTATCATCACCAGTAACCCTGAACCAGCCACCTTGTATCATCACCAGTAACCCTGAACCAGCCACCTTGTATCATCACCAGTAACCCTGACACAGCCACCTTGTATCATCACCAGTAACCCTGAACCAGCCACCTTGTATCATCACCAGTAACCCTGACACAGCCACCTTGTATCATCACCAGTAACCCTGACACAGCCACCTTGTATCATCACCAGTAACCCTGAACCAGCCACCTTGTATCATCGCCAGTAACCCTGACACAGCCACCTTGCATCATCACCAGTAACCCTGAACCAGCCACCTTGTATCATCACCAGTAACCCTGACACAGCCACCTTGTATCATTACCAGTAACCCTGACACAGCCACCTTGTATCATCACCAGTAACCCTGAACCAGCCACCTTGTATCATCACCAGTAACCCTGACACAGCCACCTTGTATCATCACCAGTAACCCTGAACCAGCCACCTTGTATCATCACCAGTAACCCTGACATAGCCACCTTGTATCATCACCAGTAACCCTGACACAGCCACCTTGTATCATCACCAGTAACCCTGAACCAGCCACCTTGTATCATCGCCAGTAACCCTGACACAGCCACCTTGCATCATCACCAGTAACCCTGAACCAGCCACCTTGTATCATCACCAGTAACCCTGACACAGCCACCTTGTATCATTACCAGTAACCCTGAACCAGCCACCTTGTATCATCACCAGTAACCCTGACACAGCCACCTTGTATCATTACCAGTAACCCTGACACAGCCACCTTGTATCATCACCAGTAACCCTGACACAGCCACCTTGTATCACCCTGACACAGCCACCTTGCATCATCACCAGTAACCCTGAACCAGCCACCTTGTATCATCACCAGTAACCCTGACACAGCCACCTTGTATCACCCTGACACAGCCACCTTGCATCATCACCAGTAACCCTGACACAGCCACCTTGTATCATCACCAGTAACCCTGACACAGCCACCTTGTATCACCCTGACACAGCCACCTTGCATCATCACCAGTAACCCTGACACAGCCACTTTCCTCCCCAGCAGACAGACTGACCCACACTAGTGACTCACTCACAAGTCAGCTTCAGTACTCCTTACCCTGCATGTGATTGTTCAGCACCTTCACAGCATCAGGTCTTGCCATCTCCTCCAGTGCTGTCTTCAACTTCTGGATCGTGGACGACTCCTTCTTCACATACTCTCCCAGCAGCAACAGTGTGCATGGTTTCTCCGGTCGGCGAGACTCAAAGTACTGAAACAAATAACATTACCATTCACTAATCTCCTTGTTACTGAAAATAAAACATGATCATGTACTCAAACCTTTTGGAGCAACCATGTTAACCAGGTGTAACAATAACTGCATTAACAATAACATTACCTCCAGAAGAGTAAAAAAGTCCCATACAAGGCATGAAATCTAACTGTGAAAGCTTGAGTAAACCTGATGTGTATAAGAATGAGTTGTTATGTCAGCAATAGGGTGACTATTGTATTAAACCAACTTCAAAGCTTAATCACTATATCAATTAATGTAATAGAAATGAATAAAGTATTGACGACAGAGTAAAAAAACAAACATTTTTCTCCCTGTCACTACTCAAAGCAAAGGGGTGATAACACTAATCTGAAGTTGTCGTCATCCTTGCTAATCAACTCACGTCATGTTTGAAACTGCAAAAGGTTTTCTGACACATAATTAATGTTTTACTTATAACTAATTTCAAATATTGAATCCATCAGTTGTTATGCATACTATCGACAATACCATTCCTATCGATATAGAACAACTGTAGGGCAATTGCAATAGATCGATAGTTCACTATATCGTTGCACTCCTAGTCAGTAATATAACATTAGTGGTAGACCAATCGTCAGAGCCTTTTGTGTCACTCTAAGGTACACAACAAAGTGCAAAAAGTGCAGAACAAATTTTCAAAAAAGGTCATAACACAAAAGATAACACTCTTATCAGATAGGAGATAAACATACTGTGTTTTCAATGTAGAGCTAGGTTACCTGTCAATTTAACCGTGCTAAATTGAATTTGGAATCGAATGCACCTATCGCTCATTGTGATGCAAAAGATATGACGTCAGAGTCATTTAAATCCAAATTCCAAGCTCTCTGTTGTCTCCAGAACCTAAAATACATTCTCTTTGTAGATTTAAGTCGTGTTTTCTGCACGAAATGCATTGCCACACATCCTTTGAATATTGTAGCAGTAATTTAGTGAGTGAGTATGGTTTTACGCCGCTTTAGGCAATATTCCAGCAATATCACAGCAAGGGACACCAAAAATGGGCTTTACACATTGTACCCATGTCGGGAATCGAACCCGGGTCTTTGGCGTGATGAGCGAATGCTTTAACCACTAGGCTACCCAAACGCCCCGAATATTGTAGTAACTTTGCATTTTATAACCTATAATTGTAGATATAATTATAAAATATTCTGAAAAAGTACTATTTTATGAATATAAGCATCCGCAGTGATGCAGCTGCCAAACCAGCTGTTTCAATCAGAGGGGGTTTATTGTGATTTAATAGCCTCTGATTGACCAATTGGAATCGAGTACTTCATGATAGAATGTGTAGAATGTGTATTACCAGTGGCCTAAGTCTGGTCATAGCAAAGGCAGTCAGCTTGGTCAGATAATCATAATTTGTCTACCATATCATATCCTAAAGAATCTAGCTATGTGATGGGAGCCAAAATATTCAGTTGGATAAAAAAGTCTCCTTAGTTTTGCTATTCCACAATTGTAAAATTTTGTACACAGGGTGTTTAAAACTTGGACCCACAAACTATAACAAGTTTTGACCCGGCCATCATCTGGAAACAATACATTATAAAAGTATTGAAAACTTGTAATAATAATAATAACATTATTGAATGATAAAAAGCCTTTTTTTTCCTCCAAGAGTTTGACATCAAAATTTAGTGTTGTCCAAACATACAGTGGTTGAAAAATACAAAATCTATTTCTCATTCATATGCACAGATTCATAACTTTCATAATTTCTAAAGGTTGACCTTATTTCTTAAATAATGCAGATATAGATGGACAAACAGGGTCCCTAACAACCTTATCATTCCTCGTCCTTTAGACGGAAATAGACAGATAAACGGATATGGACACAATGGAGATGCCCTGTGTCATATAGAGAATGAACATAATGTTATAATAATTCAAATAATATGACTTCCTAGTTAGGCTCTGAAAGGCTGCAAGTAGCTCAAAAAACCTCCTGAAACGTCATGTACACTCACTCATAGCAGAACTACAGATAAGCAGCGTATTAGCGTAAAATACCCCCAAAAATATTCAAAACCCAATTACTTTCAATTACCTTGCATACAGAAACCCATGCATTAAATGAAAAACTCAAATGTATAAAAACAGCTTGCATAAATTCTCAATGAAGCTTTTTCAGCATGCGTACAAAGGAGCTAATTTACTTTCCGGCTCAAGCCTATTTATCTAGAACAGTTTTATATATCTGAAACATCATTTTTTTTTTAAATTTTAAATCTTAAAATGTTCACTGATTTTGGGAAAACCCCAATAGATTGATGAATAGATGAGTGAAAAAATATGGGTTACCCAATGAAAAATGTAAAAACCCAATTAAAATAGAAACACAAGAGTAAAAACTCAATTGCTCAAAATGTTATCTGGAGCTCTGTCATGGTGTAGGACATCAACCCTATCATAATAACATATATGATACCTTATGATACCTAGTGATGGCTATTGGCCTACATTTTGTATTGCAATTTATTGCCATAATGATTCATGTATTGTGATACGTACCACAATATATTGTATGTGTTCTTTTATTTGTTATTTGTTATGAACCTAAACAAAAAACAAAAAACCTGCATGATTTTGACAACTTCATATTTTGTTGCCATGTTCACAAAGCATGCGTAATGGACACATTATATACAGGAAAGTGGAAACTGTCACAAATAGTGACACAGGAAGAAGTTTCTAATTTCTAAATTTCCATTTGAGTTGACACTAATGTAAAACCTTCCAACAAGATGTTATGCATAATTTTGAAAAATGCAATATACCGGTATTATCCAAACGTATTGTAGTACCGTAACGGAATAAAATGAGATTAGATAGATAGATAGATAGATAGATAGATAGATAGATAGATAGATGGCATAACAGGATTATCCCAATCAATAGTTGTGTAGTATATTAACAACAGTACCTTCAAATGTAGTCTTATATTCACTGCATCAAAATATTTGTATTGGAATAAACATGATTAAGCTAATTAACATCACAAGATCAATGACACAATGTTCTAGCCATTTTAGTCTGATGTACAAATGAACCATATCCGACATAATAACATCAGCAAAATCCAAATTCACATCACTACATCAATTTTATATCTTCGATTCACAGAATTTTCAACTGAATTTGACATTCAAACAACTTACGTCATCAACATCTTCGTAGAAAAGTTCATCCTCGTTAAACTGAAGCTCAAAGAACTCATCCAAAACATCCATAATTTGCTTGATGGTCAGTCAACAAACAACACACACCAAGTCAAAACACAAATGACTTTTCCTGCATCCCCGAGTTGGTAAGCACTGCTCTTCCCACCAATCGTCCTAACCAATATGTCACCGATCCACACAAAGAAAAAACTAACTGCTCAAAGAACAGAAAAAAATCAAAGGATAAGAAAATATCATAAATCAATTACGAATGCAATTAGATTAACTATAGGCCTCTTCAAGTTTATAACTCCCCCAAGCCAACTGTATCACTCAGTGACGGAGGTGTTATCTTCCCTTGGGCTGAACTCTCCACTATGAAGGTGGAATTTAGCCTTGGGGGAGAGGTCATAAGATCCATTCGACTGCGACCATCACCAAATACCTGCAGGGCATATCTTGAGTTGTTTTAATTAACAGCTTATCAATTATATGTGCAATCCCACACTGACATGGCAAGTTTTTGTCTACGAATTAGGAAATATACCCTAGTGTATAGACACATTTCCTTACAAGTCTGTCCTTGATGAACTTATTCTTATAAGGTTGTGAATGTCTTCATGCCTGGTCACTTGAAAAGCAAGACTCTGACCTCTAGGTGCTGAATAATTGTATGTAAATTGTAATATTGGGTCAGTGAGAAAGTTCACCTGGCAGACAAGCCAGTCTAGTGCCCATGACAGATATGACACGTGTCAAACATGGTTCAAACAAAGTTACATCAGACATTTTGACAGTCATCTTGGACAAGACTAATCTCAAGATTGGAGAATGTTTCCGACGGGCTGACAGTCATCTTGTACAAGACCAATTTCAATATTGGAGAATGTTTTGCAAAATGATTCATTTAACATGTTAAACATTCGACATGTTCAGTAGAATATTTGGTTTTATGCTTTCTCACATTTTGATTATTTAGACATAATGATGCAGTTATTAACTGAGCCCTGCAGTATAAACAAAGCATCCTGGGTTGGGGATAATGTTACCCTAAACTGTATACATGGTACTTTGTTTTGCAAAAGGACATTGTAGGTAGGTTAGACCCCAGAATACCAAATGGTTTGACCCTAAGTACTCACAGGCAAATATAACTGTGATCATGATAATGTATTGATATATGAAAATCAATGAGGCTGAGTGAGTGAGTTGGGTTTAACGCCAATATTCCAGTTATATCATGGCGTGTCAGCTTAATGTAGTAGGAAAGCCTGAAGTGATGAAGGTCTCAGACGTTTACCACTTTGGTGAAACCAACGGGCACATAAAGGTGCTGACAAACCTAGAAACATAATCGGGGAGATACAGGATCCGAACCCACTGTCATAGGTTTCTAGGGTCCCAACAGTACAAAACTCACAGCCCAAAAAATCATTAAGAATTATATGACTTGGTTTATAGTGATTGACCAATCTTTCAGCAGTGGACCCAACAAACCACTTGATATGAAGGCGACTATGCTTGCCGTAAGAATCGATTAACAGGATCGGGTGATCAGACTCGCTTACTTGGTTGATGCATGCCATCAAATCCAAATTGTGTGGATCGATGCTCATGGTATCATCACTGGATTGTCTGGTCCAGATTCAATCATTTACAGACCGCCGTCATATAGCTGGCATCTTACTGAATGCAGTGATAAACAACAAACAACAAACTTGGTATGACAGGCAAGGCACGCTGGATGCTGCATAATGTTTTTTCAAATAAGTGAAACAGTCACAC